GAAAATGTAAATTTTATCAATAAATTCTTTGGAATAAATTTTTAATGAATTTGTAAATAAGTTTTTTAAAATAATTTTCATAAATATTAATCAATAAAAAATGGATAATTTGAAATATTTACCTTTTCATAGTAATACACTTTTTCCATTTGCTAAATCATTGGAATATTTTATTGAATAAATTCAATTTCATTCTAATTTTAAATTTTTACTTCCAATGATTAATTCATACATTCAAATATTGTTGTACTTTTTGTATGATTAAACTTGGCAATATTTATTTGTTATCAAAAAAAAAAAAAAAAAGAAGCAAAACTACTGTAAGCTTTGAATGTTTCACTTATTAGTCAGTTTTTTTTTTGAATCATTATATCACTATTTGTTTGATTAAACTTACTAACTAATGAACTTGAAAATTTTGCATTTATTAAATATTATTAAAAATAACGATATGATATGAGATGAAAAAGATAAGAAAAAAAAAGAAGAAAATGAAAGGAAAAGATTAAAATTACAATTTCTTTTTTTTTTTTCATAATTTATAATCTTTAATTTTTAAATTATATTTGTAACATTGTAATCAGAGATAATAAATAAAAAAAAAAAAAAAAGTATACATTTTTATCAGAAATGGAAATATTACAGGAAAATGTTGATGATATTTTATGAATATTATCAAGATTTTCTTGCATTTAAAATTTAAATTTGTTTTATTTTTTTTAATTTTTTCAAATTTAATTTAGTTCCATTTCTTTTTTTTTCCTTCGTTGTTATATTTTTCCCTTATAAAGTATTATTGTGATTTTAATTGTTTAATGAGTGGATAATTTAAATATTACAAAAGAAAAAAGCAACATAAGGCATGCAAAATTTTATTAAGTTTAACAAAAAAAAAAAATTTCCTTAATTTATTTGTTTTTGAAATTCAACATTATTTATATAATTTAATCTTATTTTTTCTTTCTTGCATATTTGTTATGATTACTTATCTCAATCTAATATTTTATTTGGTTTTAGCTTATGCAAAATTTTTTACGTTATCGTAAAAAAATACGTGAAACGTGCGTTACTTTACGGAAAAGAAAACGTGTTACGTGTTAGTTATTATTCGTAATTTGTCAATCTGAAAAGAATTTATTGTTTCAGCATGGTATTGTAATAAAATTGGAAATGTTTGTGGATTTTATTATATAGTGATTATTAAAAATTAAAATATCAAATCAAATGAATTGGAAAGATAATAATGAAAATTATCATCCCAATAAATACATATATAAAATTTGAAAAAATATTTCAAATGAAAAGTTTAATTTAAAAGAAAATTTTGCATTTTTTTTTGGAATTAAAATTTTCTTTCTTTTTTTATATTTTTACCGCCAATTGGTTGAAAAAAAATCAAACGAAATTATTGGAATAAATTAGAGTGTTAATAATATAGGTAATACAGGTATGAGGGAATCATGCCAATTAAGGATACTGTTATCGCCGTTGGTACTAAAACAACTACTACTATTATTACTATTATTAAATTCTATTGCTACTATTAAAGCATGGAATGGATGGAGTTATAATCGACGTAAGTTATTTGAAGAAAAAAAAAAAGGAAAAAGAGAAGTTAGAATGAAATGGTATGGATTAAATATTTTCAAAATTTAAAAAATTGTAATTTTTTAATTTGCTAATTTCAATAATTTGAAAAAAACAGAAACATTATAATTTTGTCATTTAACATTGCTTTTTTTTTTAAATTCATTTTTATACAAATTTCATTTATTGAAATTATATAAAATTGAATTGATGAAAGAAAAATAAAAAACTATAATAATTTTATAAATGATAATTTTTCTTTTTTAGTTGCAATTTTTTGAATTTTTTTTTCGAGTAGTAATTAAAGAGTTTTTTTGTTTCTTATATTTTTTATAATGTTTTCGTCTTTGAAACATGAAACGAAAATTATTTAAAAAGTTGAAATTATTAATAATTTTTAATAAAAATATAAATATACGAAATTATTGTCAATTTGCAAATTTTTTTGATTATTGATAATTTTACATACTGTAAATAATAAAAATAGTGAGCAAAAGAAAAAAAAAAAGACCAAAATTTATTTTGTTTAATTTCATTTAAAAAAATTTTTTTCAAATATTTTAGAATTTATTCGTCGTTTAATTTATAATTTAGGAAAATTTTAAATTTTCAATGAACTAACGATTAAAATTGTATTTATAGAAAAATTCAATCAAAGTTATCATATTTCAGATCAAAATGTCGATGATTATCATTTACCTTGTTAGTTTCATGATTCATAAATTTATCCTACTATTAAATTATTTTTAAGAAATGAAAAAAAAAATTTAGTATTTTCAAAAAATTTTTTTCTTCAATTTTCCTTTTTGAAATTTAAAAAATTGTGGAAATTTTAAATTTTTTTTAATTTATTATTTTTCTTTTTTTTTTACTCTATTACATATTTCTTTTCTCAATTTTATAATTTTAATGAATGAGGAAAAAGCATTAAAATCCTTTTGCAACTATAGCATTATCTTTCTTTCTTTTTTCTTAATTAATAGCTTTTAATTAATTACACATATTAATTAAATTCATTGATTAGTAGTTTAGTGGTCCAATTTTTAGCAGTACAAATTACCATTTATCCAACCGAAGAAAATATCTATGAAGGATATGATGCGACATTTAATTGTCGTGCACGTACTACTGACGGTGTTACGTATCCAAAAGTACGATGGACACGTTATAATGCACCAATGCCTAATTCAGCATATGAAATAGATGGACAATTAAAATTTACATCAGCAACAGCATCTGATAGTGGACGATACATTTGTTCAGCAAGTTTTGGGGGACGGACCTATGATGCAAATGCCCAATTAAATGTACAATCTTGTAAGTTTCTACAGTGTGAAATGTAAAATGAAATTAAATTTTAAAAGTTAGCTTGAAATTTTATTGATAATAATTTATGAAAATCTAGTAGTAATAATTTCTTTTTTTTTTCATTCAATCATAATTCATACATATAATTAATCACATTTCATTATTTAATTTTAATCTCTTGAATTAAAGTTACAATCTTATCTTTGTATAACTTTAAATTTAAAATAAAAAAAGAAGTTTAAAAATTTAAAATAATAATTATAACTTAAGGTTGAAAGCAAAGTTCAAGAATTTAAAATGATAGTCGGACATTTGGACACGAATAACAATCGGATTAATCGTATTTTTGCATAACTTTAGGTTTAAAAGAAAAAAAAAAGTTTAAAATAATGTATTAAATCATAGAATTCAACTATAGGTATTAATAAAATGGGAAATTTAAATTTTACAAAATTGATTTCATTTTTGTTGGCTATATTTTAATAACAATATAAATAAGTCAATAAATATGATTCATTAATAAATAATTATTTTTTGAATACATATTAATTTTATTTGATATAAATTATTATTAATTTTATAAACATTTTGTAAACTTTTAGAATGACATGATTAATTATTGCCATTTTTTCTTACTCAACTTTTTCTTTCAACTATAATAAGTAGCTATTTGATGATAATGATAAATATAATGGATAAATAGTTGATGATAACATGATAAACATAATTAATAGCTGACTAATGATAATCATGATAAACATTTCTCCTTATGTGATAATATTTTGGTTTATGATTAAATTGATGAAATTTGAAAAATTTAATTTTCATAATTTTTCAAAGGAAAAATTTTTGCAATCTTTTAAATTTTTAACTTTGCAGTATTAATTTAAGCATTTTATTATGGGATAGTTGAAAATATCATCATAATTAATGACTAATTTTTTTTTCCTTTTCTTGTGCATTTATATATGTTAGGAAGATATGAATAAGAGAAAAATATAATTAAAATAGGTATGAAATAAGAAGGAAATCTAATTAATAAATATAATTAATGACTAATCTTTTTTCTTTTTTTGGTTGTTTCGTTAATAAAATTGATTATATAATCAATTATAGATATTAATAAAATGGGAAATTTAAATTTTACGAAATTAATTTCATTTATTTAAACTGTTTTACTTTCAAAACATACTTTCTCTCTTAATAGTTGATATTATGAATTTTGAATTTACTGCAAATATATAAAAGAAACAGTTTAAATAATTCCGTTAATTCATCTGATCAACCTGATAAACTTTCCCACTCCGTTCATTTAATTTCAATTTAATTAAAAACTTTTCCATTCCTTTCATTTAATTTCAATTTAATTAATGTTCCGGGGGAAAAAAAAGTCAATAATATTGCTACTACCAATATCATTTCAACTATCCAATTGAATAATCACTGAATAGCTCTTAAAGTATTTCTAGTAATTTCTTAAATTGTTACTTTAAATAATTTCTTAAAGTATTACTTGAAAGATTTTTTGGGAATTTTTTTTTTAAAGATTTTATTTAAAAGATTTTTAAAAGATTTATTGATTGTTGTAATCATT